ATAAATAGAGAAGATCACACATCTTGATCAGCTGGGATTATTTCTGGGATGCAAGTATGGTTCAATATCCACAAATCAACTAACATGATACACTGCATAAACAAAATGAAGGATTGAAATAATATGATTATATTAAATAGATTCAGAAAAAAATCCATCATTCATTTAAGATAAAAACTCTCTGCAAAGTGGGGATAGAAGAAACAAACTCAACATAATAAAGAACATATATGCCAACCCAGAGCTAACATTATACTCAACAGGAAAAATGAAAGTTTTTTTCTCTAAGATCAGAAACAAGACAAGGAAGCCTATTCACAGCATTCTTAATCAACATAGTATTGGAAGCCTAGTCACCACAATCAGACAAGAAAGAGAAATAAAAGCCATATAAATTGGAAATGAAGACGTAAAACTGTAATTATTGGTAAATGACAAGATAACATATAGAGAGAACCCTCAAGATTCCACTGAAATCTATTAGAACAAATAAATCAATTCAGTAAAGTTTCACAATACAAAATTAATATTCAGAAATAGGTTGCATTTCTGTACACCAATAATGCACTATCAGAAGGAAAAATTGAGAAAATAATCTCATTCACAATAGCATCAAAAAGAATAATATATCTACAAATGAATTTAATTAAGAGAGATGTGTGTACTTGGAGAACTATAAAACATCAGAGAAATAAATTGAAGAAGATACAATTAAATGGAAGCACATACAAATTCTCATGGATAAGAAGAACTAACATCATTAAAATGTCTGTATTACCCAAAACAATCTACAGATTCAGTACAATCCCTAACAAAATACCAATGGCACTTTTCACAAAACTAGAACAAATAATCCTAAAACTTATATGGAACCACAAAAAAAATCCCTGAATAGCTAAGGCAATTGAGAACAAAGTTGAAGATATCATTCTTCCGGATACCAAACTTTACACCAAAGCTATAATAATCAAAACATCGTACTGGCATAGATCACACAGATATACAGATCAATGGAAAAGAATAGAGAGCCCCAAAATAAACCTACACCTTTGTGTCAACCAACCTATGACAAAGGAGACAAGAACATACAAAGGAATAAGACATTCTTTCTCATTAATGGTGTTGGGAAAAATGGACAGATACATGCAAAAAATGAAACTACCAATTTCTTACACATATACAAGAATAAACTCAAAGTGAATTAAAGACTTAAATGTAAGACCCCAAACCATAAAACTTGTGGAAGAAAATACAGGCAGTAAACTCTTTGACATAACCTTTAGTAATATTATCTTAGATATGTCCCCACAGACAAGGGATACAAAGGTAAAAAATAAACAAATAGTACTACACCTAATAAAAACTTTTTGCACAGTGAGGGAAACCATCAACAAACCAAAAAGACAACCTGCTTAATTGGGGAAGATATTCATGAATGATACATCAAATAAGAGGTTAATATATAAAATGTATAATGAACTCATACATCTTTACACACAAAAAAAATCTGATAAAAAGATGTGAAGACCTGAATAAACATTTCTCCAAAGAAGACATATAGATGTCCAATAGGTACATGAAAAAATACTCAACATCACTAATCACCAGGGAAATGAAAATTAAAACCAAAATAATATATATCTTTATACCTGTTAGAATAGCTATCATCACTAAATGAATAAATAACAAGTGCTGGTGAGAATGTGGAGAAAAGGATACCCTTGAACACTGGTTGTAAATTTGTTCAGCCACTATGGAAAACAGCATGGAGTCTCCTCAAAAAATTAAAAAGAGATCTACCATATGATCCAGCAAATGTACTTCTGGGTATTTATTTGAAAAATTCAAAGCATTGATTCATGAACATATATGCACTCCTATATTCATTGCAGCATTATTTACAATACTAAGATATGGAAGCAACCATTGGTAGATGAATGGATAAAGATGATGTGGTGCATATATACAATGTAATATTACTCAGCCATAAAAAAGAATAAAATTTTGCCATTTACATCCACAGCCCACAAAAATCCAAGGCTTATATTTGGGAGCCCTCTTTCTTTTTTTTTTTAGAAGTAGACAAAAATATTTATAATTCCATAAATGAAAAGTTCTATCAAAATATCTGTAATGTTTTGAGCGAATTTTCTAGGGCCATGTCACAGTGTCTAGATGTTATTAGCTGTCTCCAAGGAAACACTATCTCTTTATAAAGATCCAGCCATCTCTATCCCTCCTTCCCACTCCCTAGAACTCAACAATCCTATAACACTTGGCCTAATTACATTTAGCAAATGCCAGCTGAGAGTGGATTGCCAAAATCTCTTTGAAAGCACTTATATTGAGTTAGCCAGTAAGTCCATTTGTTTTTTTTTCTGTAAGAGGGCTCTAGTAGCACTTAGTTCTCTTTAACTTCATTTGAAACAATTTTGTTAGACTGTATTATGACAGCTGTCATATCAGTGTGCATTTTTTTAAAAAGTATCAAAATTGGTGAATTTTTGTGTAGCCATTTTAATATAGAAGATAGAAGATAATAAGCAACATTTTTGGCATGTTATGCTTTATTATTTCAAAAAAGTTAAAAATGCAACAGAAGTGCAAAAAAATAAAATTTGTGCAGTGTATGGAGAAGGTGCTTTGACTGATTGAACATATCAAAAGGGGTTTGTGAAGTTTCGTGCTGGAGATTTCTCACTGGATGATGCTCCATGGTTGGGTAGGCCAGTTGAAGTTGATAGCGATCAAATCAAAACATTAGTTGAGAACATTCAATGTTCTATAACACAGAAGACAGCCAACATATTCAAAATATTCAAATCAATAAAGTTATTAGTGAAAATGAAAAATGTGTCTTTATTTTATGTAAAAAACTAAGCTGACTTTTTCGCCAACACAAAATTTCTTCCCTTTCTCTTCCCCAGCCTTAGAAAATAATAGTAGAGAGGGGACCCTTACTGTCATTTCAGATGGACCTCCAGGTATCCTTTCTGACCTTAAGATAACCCTTAATATCACTGCTACCAGCACCACCAGGGTGAACATACAAGTTTTCACTTCGAAGTTACCTTAAACTCTTATTTGTGTATTTTCTTAGTACCTTTAAGTGTTTCATATTAGAGTACTCAGGGACCATTTCAACATGGGTCCATTCTTCATTTTAAAGCCTGAACCATCAATATGACTAGAGTGCGTGTGTATATATATAATTAAGATGAATGTTACTCATCTAATTATGTAATAAATGCTCTTTGGAACTTGGGAGAATTGGAAAAGATGGAAGCCAGAAATAGTTTCTGCCTTTCAACTTCCCTGGTTGGAAACTGTTTGCCTACAGTGGATATCTTTGAGCTCCTATTGTGTGCCAGTTGCCAGGAGGGGGCACTGATAGGATCCATGGTTCCTTTTAAGAGTTTATTTTTAATCATTTTATTTCTTTAGCTCCTATAATTTGCTTTATACCTCAAACCTAAAATAAAGTATTTTTCTCCTTAAATTAGAACTTGAGCATTTTAAACTAGAACACTCTCTCTACAGTCATTTTAATTTTACAGAACATTTTTTAAATTGTGATAATGTTCACATATCATGAAATTCTCCATTTTAACCGTTAAGTAAAAGAAGCCAGACAGAAATTGCATATATAGTAGAATTCCACTTATGTGAAATATCCACAATAGACAAATCCACAGAGGCAGAAAGTTGGTAAGTGGTTGCTGGGTAGGCTGGGCAGGGGAATGGGGAGAAACTGTGGATGGGTCCAGTTTCCCTTTGAGGTGATGGAAATGTTTTTGGTAGGAGAGATGATTACATGACATGGTGAATGTACAAAATATCACTGAATTGTACACATTAAAATGTTGGTTTTTAATTTAAATTCACGCAGAATATAAAAATTCATTCATATAGATGTACAAGAAAGTTGTTTCTATCAAATGCCTAACTAATGGCATGTGTAGAGGGAGAATGTGCTGAAGAGGTTGAACACATGGGTATGAGTGTTAAACTTGCTTAGAATCCAGGCTCTGCCTCTCTCTCAGTGGCTTCTCTGTAAAGTAGTAAATATTCTAATTCCTCCCTCTCAGAGTTGTTCTGGGATTTATTGAGATATTTTATGTAAAATGTCCATCAGAGAGCTTGGCAGTTACTGTGCATCTAATTAATAATAGATATTACTATAAAATAAATAGTATAGACATTTGGAGACATAGGGTAAGATGACTTCCTGCTAGTGCAGATAACCCAAAAGAGAGCTGGGCTCCAGAGGCGGGGCAAAGCAAAGACATGGAGGAGGAAGTGAGTCAGTGTGGTGGGGCAATATGTGGCACAATTCAAAGTAGAAATATTCATACACATAAATTGAGAATCACCCATACTAAGAGTCAAAGAATGCAAGGGAGGTCATTTTGCCCCAGATCTGGGGCATCATACAAATTGAGAATGGTACTCAATTCTGGCTTTTCTCTCCACAAGAAGGAATAGCAGCCCTCCCTGACCTGGCAAAGTTGTTGACCTCAGGTAAAACAGACCAGGTGAGGATGGCCTCACTTGGTGCAGACTCAGTTTAATTTTCCTGACAGGATCTAGAGACTTAGCAGCTACATGTCAGGTTTCAGGCCAGAGCAGAAATGTGTTTACTTAAAAACAAGATCAGGGTAAGACACCAGAATCTGACTACTCTAGCAGCTTATGATGACATACGTCTTTGATGTGAAGGTTGCAGTAGTTTAGGAATTAGTGAGCAGATGTTCACATTACTGAGTATAAATAAGAACAAGAAAGTAGAGCTCTACTAAGTTCATTGTTTCCAGTAAACCATTTTTTAAGGCTTCGAAAGCACAATGGCTTCTCCTAAAAAAAACATCAAAGTATACAAGTAAGAAAACAAAAAGTGCATTTAATCACTTGAATTTCTAAACCTCACAATTGTCTTTGGCAGATGAAACAAAGCTCTGTGAACTTTATTTATCTCAGGAATTCTTTTTTTGCCTTTGCAGCAAGAAGCCAAAACAACATCAAAGCACACCTCCCCAACAGAAGCCTCTGACCTTAGCCTACGATGGAGACTTAGATATGTAACCTGAAAAAGAAATCCAAATGTAGACATCAACTGCCTTAACTGCTTTCTCTTTTGTAGCTCTCAGACTTCTCAGTTTTTTGAGGAATCTCACAGTGTGATATATTAGGCAGAATACAAATATTGCAAAAGTAATATTGCCTCCACTTCATTCGGACATGGAGTCAAGGATTATTTGGTCTGCCATTTTGAGTTCAAGTTGTTTATGGGTGTGTTTACTTTTTTGATTTCCCCAAGAGAACTGAAAACCCTTCTCTTCCTGTTTGGAAATGGGAGGAAGAAAACATGATGGAATTCCCACAGACTTGAGTAAACTTTATCTCCAGCAGCATGATGACAATCCGGAGGAAAGTCCAATCAAGGCATTTACTGTAAATGAGAGTCTGACATTACATTGTTACGCACTATATTAGTGCAAGTCTTTATTCTTCCCATACTTCAACACTGAGTTTTCTAGAGTTTACATTACTTCAAAGACTTTCAAATTGGATTGACTATTTTCATGAACTCAGAGAGAATGGGTTGCCATTTCAGAAATTCTCTAAGTTTTTATCTTTAAATATTGTATTTTGTTTTGTAGTCAGGGGGTGATGGCACTTCATGGATTGCATATATTGAAAAAATGGAGTATGTGTAATTGATGGAGTAGATGAAAGATAGTGGTTTCTAATTGAAATATGTACTGAATGTTATAGAGTACAAATGAAGTAGATGGTTATATTGGAGGATGAGGTAGATTATTGGATTATTAAAACTTCATTTTAACAAAAATTTAGCAACGTAGATATAGAATTAATCACACAGTTGTAATTCAGCTTAATGATGACCAACTCTGCCTTTGTAATTTCAATTTTCTTATCCAAAAATTTATAAATTCTTTTTTTGAATTTAATTATCTGACCTCATTTAATATACATCAAACACCAATCCTGTTTATAGCAAGTCTTGATTTTATAAGGTTTCAATAATACCTAAAACACATGAAAAAGCTGAAACCATTTTATGAAGATAATTGTTTGTAATTGTAGATGTTGAAAGTAAGAAAGTGCCATCTTGTGGTATTGACTTGTATTTCTAACAAATAAAGTGCTCTAGAGACTGAGAAGTTAACTGTTCTATATTTTTTTTTACTTCTGAAGTACCCTTACTTTGACAAAAAACAGTTTTAATACCAGTGTTCCTGCGTCATGATTTTAGAGATTGAGAGTTGAAATTACTGACAGAGAACAGGAATCTTACCCCACATTCTCAACCCTATTTTGTATACTGTGAAATAGTCAACCACAATTACACAGAGTAGCTTTTACAGAATATTTAAAGCTCAGTCAATATTAGAACAAACAACTATAATAAGGCAAATGCAGATATGCAAATGATCTGAGAGACCTCAGAAAACGGATGTGTTAGCAATGTGATACAATGAGCAAGATATAGAATGTTTGTATTTATAAGATGGCTTCCATTAACCATTTACCACTTAAATGGTTAAAACAAAAGAGTAAATGAAGAGATAATATCTCCTGCCAATAATGTGGTTGAGGAAACAATTCCTAGAGCTGTCCTTTTATTAGTTTACCTTAGCTAAACTTTCAATATTGTTTATAGTAATTCAAGATATCCTGCTTTGAAGATCAAAACCTGACTGTATCCTTTACCATCTAAGTGATACTTACAATACAAGCACTGCAAATATCTGTCCCTCTGTTGTTTTAGCCACAAAATAAAGATAATAAAATTATTTCCTCTTAAGGAAGACAATAATGTAAACTGGAGTTCCAGTTCAAGGTGCTGAAGTTTGAGAATGGGAATTAACATTAATCTTCTCCTGGAGACACACCAAATATATGGCCACATATGGGACAATTCCACATGAAAGAAATTCAAAAACTAGCTAAACAACTCTTACACATCACATCAGGCAAATGAGGAAAAATACATATCAAAATAGATAAAAAAAGGCTGAGACACAATATTGCCATAAACCCCACTCTCAGCATGGAAATCCGTAACTGGAAGGAAACTCACAACCCCTGGCTATTCTCTGAGTAGCAAAGGATCTGAACCCAATACCTGCAACCCAGATTTTAAGACCTGTACCTGAAAGATGACCCCCCAAAACACTTGCAAAGCCAAAGTGTGTCAAAAGACCCACTAGGCTATAGCAAACAGAAATAGTGCTTAAAGGGCCTAAGTGGACTCACCATAACTACCCACCCCTCCAGGGTGCAGCTCAGAGACAACAGAGAGAAAGAACCAGTTTTTCTATGAAAGAAGCTTATTAACATCTTCAGAGTCTTAGCCTGAGGGGCAGACTTCTCATTAAGTATGAACCTAGCGCCTGACTATAAACCCCATCAGAGACTAGGTAGGCTGGTGTGTACCATCTTTTGCTTTCCCTGTGCCCCAACACAGGTTGCTAGTATCCCTAAGAAAGATCTTGGACACACATCTGGCAGTCCAACTTTTGTGGCTGACGTCCTTTGATTGCTTGGCTGTGGTGAACAGAGGGGCTCTTGTTCATGGGTGTAGTAGAATAGTAGCAAACAAAGTTCTTAACTGGCTATCACCCTGCCATTCAGTAGAGAGGGTACAGACAGATATGCCTACCTTTCAGTATTCCCCTGGAAGAGGCCTAACTGAATATTTTAAAAGCTGCTGCTTGAGGATCTAATTTCCAATCAGCCTAAATATAAGGCATGATCTATACCCTACCCACTTTAGGACACTGGCAGACCTTGATACTCTCAATTACTGGGAGACACTAACTACAGAGTAGGTTGCTATCTTCTTAGGAAAATTACAAAGGAAAATTACAGAAGTACATGCAGACAAACAGGGACTAGGTTAGTATTAAAAAAACAAAAACAAAAACAGCTTATCTCCTACAAAAGTCACTTATTTAAGATTGGGAGAGGTAGCCCTTTTATCTCCTATATAGACACCAACACAGAGAGTCAAGGAAAATGAAGAAAGAAAGAAATGTGTTTCAAATGAACAAATAAGACCTCATAAAAAACACTTTAATGAAACATAGATATGTGATTTACCTGATAAAAAGTTCAAAATTACAGTCACGGAGATGCTTACTGAGGCCAGAGGAACAATGCATGAACAAAGTGAGAATTTCAACAGAGATAGAAAATGTAAGAAAACACCAAACAGAATCATAAGCTGAAGAATACAATAACCAAACTAAAAAAAAATACAATAGAGGGGTTCTTTAGAAGACCACATGAAGTGGAAGAAAGAATCAGTGAACATAAAGACAGGGTAGAGAAATTCATCCAATCAGAGCAGCAAAAAGGAGAAATAATGAAAAAGAGTGAAGAATGTATTAGGAAATTTACAGGAAAACATCAAGTGGACCAATATTTGCATTTAGGGTTTGAAAGTTAAAATACACATGTTGTAAAAACAACTATAAAATTAAAGGTTTTAGAATGGATACAAAAGAGAAAAACTATATTGTAATATCAAAAATATAAAACATGGGGTGCAAGTAAAAGCAGAATTAGCCAAAGAACATATATGCATAACCCATAGACACAGACAACAGTGTGGTGGTGACTTGAGGAAGGGGATGGGGTGAGGGCTGTGTGGATGTGGGTAAAGGAGGGAAAATGGGGACATCTGTAATAAATGTCAACAATAAAAATACAGTTAAAAATAGCATAAGCTTTAGAATGCATTCAAACTGAAGTTGTTATCAACTTACAATTGACAGTTATAAGTTGTTTTACATAAGTGTCATGGTAACCACAAAGCAAAACTCTATAATGGATATACAATAGACAAAGGCTAAAGATATCACTATAGAAAATCATCAAATCACAAAGGAAGAGGAAAGAGGAACAGAGAAAATACTTACTGAACAGCTAGAAAGCAATTAAGAAAATGGTGACTAGACTATACTTATAAGTAATTACTTTAAATGTAAATGGACTAAATTTAATCAAATGATGGAGTGACTGCATGGGTTTAAATAAAAGAAAAAGCTAAGACCCAAATATATGCTGCTTTTAATAGACTCACTTAAGGTATAAGGCCTTGCAGAGAAAGAGAAGAGTTGGAAAAATAATACTCCATGCAAATGGAAACAAACAAACAAAAAATAGGTGTAGCTATTCTTGTATCAGACAAACTATACATTGGAACAAAAACTTTAATGAGACAAAGAATTTTCATGTAATGATAAAGGAAACAACCAATAAGAGGATACGGCATTTGTAAATATTTATGCACTCAACATAGGAATACCTAAATACACAAATCAAATATTAATGAACCTAAAAAATAGAATTATAATAACTGTAGGGGACATTTATTCTCCACTTTTATTAATAGGTAGATTATTTAGACAGAAAATAGTAAAAACTTCAGACTTAAACAATATGTTTGGCTATATGAACTTAGACATTTACAGAACATGCCATCCAAAAGCAGAAGAATGTACATTCTCCTTACATTGTACATTCTCTAGAGTAAGTCACATGTTAGGCCACAAATCTAGTAAGCCTCAATAAATTCAAGAAGTTTTAATCATAACAATCATCTATTGAAACCACAAGGGCATAAAACCAGGAATCAATTGCAAGAAGAAAACTAGAAAACAAATACATGGAAGCTAAAGAATGTGATATTAAACAAACAATGGGTCAATGAAGAAATATATATTTATTTATATATTTGTAGATAATGTATTTATATATAATATACTTGTATGTAACTTACATTTTATATATATAATACTTATATATAATATATAATTAGACATATGAAAAGGAAGACAACTTCCCAAAATCTTGGGAATACAGCAAAAGCAGTTCCAAGAGGGAAATTCATAGTGATGCTGGCCTAGCCCAGGAAAGAAAAAAAATCCCAAATAAACTATTTAACTTTACAACTTAGGAAACTAGTAAAATAAGAGGAAACAAAATTCAAAATTATTAGAAGGAAGCAAATAATAAAAATCAGAGTAAAAATAAATTAGAAACTAAAGTAA